CACTCGGGCCACAAGAACGCAATCCTTTTGAGCCATCTCTTGCCACCCCCGGGACCCACACTTCACTCCCACAGCTGAAATCTGCAGCAGACACTGTGATCCAGTCCATAGGCAAATGCCTGCCCCCAAAACGTTTCTATGTTCTCTGTATCTCCTTTCATACAGTCCTATGAACTCTCCCATATTTCTTTCATCCAACAGTGAAAATGATCCGTTAAAAAAGTGGTCCAATCAGCAAGTCTCCCTTCCATTGTTTAATCAGCAACGAGCTCATCCGTAACCCAGAAAGCAAAACGGTTCAATTAAAGGGGCACCCGGGAATCAGAATCTCCTTGCGGGCGCATTACATTCCTTGTGGGTTTATTGGTTTTGTTCGCCTTCATTTTTGTTTGACGACATCATCGTAAGAGGTCGTGCGGAAGAAGCAGTGGTTTCTCACGGACCCTAACCTGTGCTGTCTTGATGCTACAGCCGGTGAATGTCAGTTACTGACCAAAGAGAAGAAGGTTTCAGCCCGTTGTTGGGCCCAAATCCTCCCAAGCAGACCCTTCTCACATTTTATTCTCCTCTTGTAAAATGGAGCTGTTTGACTTCGCCCTAATTAAAACCTGTGGAAGCACTTTTAAAGAGGACCCTGAAGAGGTACCATGCTAGAGAAGTGAAAACTATCATTAATTACCTTAATCATCACGTTAAATACCTCCGTCGACACGCCTGCCTCTTTCTGCGGCCAGGCAGATTTCTGCAAAGGCGTAATTCAAAGTAATGACGTCATAACCACCGATCGCGGCTTTTCATCCAAAAAGTTGGAGAGTTTCCAAAGACTTGTGAACTCCGGCTCAGACTTTTAAAACGTATGAACCACATTAAGTCCCAATTCCCCAGATGAGAGCAAATGTATGCAGGAAAAGGCAAGCCTTTTTTTTTTTTTGCCTTTTTCTCTTTGTAAGGTCAGCGAGTGGGCATTAAACATTGCGCAAACTCCAGAAAGCAGCTGCGATCAAGTGAAATGCTGAGCTAGGGTGTTCGGGCAGCAACGTGACTGCCTCCATGACCACCACCCCTCCCCCCAGACATTTGTACCCAGTGTCTTAAGACCTCCCCGGAAACCAGATGGTGAGCACGATGTCGCCGTCTCCTGGAACGTGGCAAGGAATGAGACAGCCTCTCTCTGAGCATCCAGCACCCAGCCGCCCGCCCCAGTGCACCAGGCATGCATACTCTTTGGAACTGGGATTCCAAGAGCCCGAAGCTCCTGGCAGTGGCAACTCCTGGGATGCTTTGTCCCATCTTCAGGGATTGTCCCCGAAAAGCGGGGATGGTGCAAGGCATGTTTGTGTGTGACTCAGCACTTTCTGCTTATCCAGCCTGCTCCAGAGTTCACCGTACTTCCTGTTTTATGCTTCTCAGCCCCCACGCATTCTGAAATTCGCCATCCGTAGTTTCTCCAAACCAAGACTCTGCCCCAGCCGCCAGGTGTGGCCGCTGCGGATGGATTCACCAACGCCAACAATGAGGCCGTGGCCCAGGAGTCTGAAGCAAGCTAGCCCCCATTGCCTAAGTACGGAGAAGCGGTTCCCAGGGTTGTACTATCAGGCTGCCGCTTTGCAGTGCAAACATCTAGAGTGCCCGAACCAGGTAGTGCCGTCCGGTCGCTCCTTGTGGCCTCTGGAGGCAGGTGCATAGGAGACACACCGGTGTAGCACACACAAGGATTCTCCTCACAACAAAAATTTGCCCTAAGTCCAAGAGCGCACAGGCTAACGTAAACATGAAAAGTGTAGGATAGCAGCAACATAAAGCACTCACATACTTAGCGCAGCAGAATGGTACTTCCTGCACAGAAACAACTCCACACCATGCTTTATAAAAAATGCCCAGCATGGCAGGTGTTCACACCAGCATCACCGCACATGCATTGTTCATGCGTGGGGCTGTGCTGTGAGGGACAGCTATGACGTCACTAAGGCTCAGGAAGGTTTTGGCTGTGTAGCCATCTTCCGGAAGCACTGTCCTAGATGCTGTCCCTTGCTAACCCAAGTGTCTTGTGATGCAGCGTATCATGGCAGCAGCCATCAGCCATCCTTTCCCCTACCCTCTCCAGCATCCTCTGCCCATCTCTTCTGCCCAGCCTACCTCCAGCCATGGCTAAGGACATCCCCGCCTCCTTCAGTTCTGTGGTTTCTTGCTCCCCACTGGCCCAATGTGGTCTTTTCTCACGCTCCCTGTTTGCCTCAGCTCTGTCCTTATCTAGACCTGCTGCCTTTCTACCACCTCAATGGCCCACGGGCTGCTTTTCCAACAAAGACAGAACTTTATTCCATATCATCCAAGAATGCTTTGATCATAGGGCGGGTGTTTGGCAGAGCAGTGACGATGCTGGTTGCCATGCCTGCATCCGGTATCGCAGTACCTGGCTTCAGCTCCCACCTCTGATCCAGGCTGCTGCTAATGGGCACCCCGGGAAGCAGCAGGTGCTGGTCCAAGTAGCTGAGTTCCTGCCACCCACTTGGGAGACCTGGAAGGAGTTCCAAGGTCCCAGCTTCATCTTGGCCCAGCTCCAGCTGTTCCAGACATTTAGAGAGTGAACCACTGAATGAGAGATAATCTCTTTTTCTCCTCTTCCTCTCTCTCTCTTCTTCCCTCTCTTCTAAACAAATAAGTTTTAAAAGCAATCATTTTTATTTTTTATTGGAAAGACAGATTTTTCTTCTCCTTCTCTGCCTTTTTCAGAATAAAATAAAATAAAATCTCAAGGTGCACACTGTGACACAGCCCTTTAAGCCACTGCCAATGACGTTGGCATCCCATATTCGAGTGCTTGCTGTAGTCCTGGCTGCTTTGCTCTGGATCGAACTCCCTTCTGATATGCTTGGGAAAGCAGGAAGCTGGCCCAAGTGCCTGGACTGCTGGCACTCATGTGGGAGATCTAGATGGAGTTGCCATCTCCCAGTTTCAGCCTGGTTGTGACAGGTATTTGGGGGAGTAAGACAATAGATAAGAGATCTGACTCTTTCTGTCACTCTGCTTTTCAAATAAATAAATCTCTTTTAGGATAAAATATTAAATTATAAAATTGATCATAATAATACCTAGTAACCATAGATGGGGCAGGGAGAAGCAGAGAGCTGGGCTTTTAACATCTCCACAGGGCAGAGTCCAGGTAAGTCTGAACAGCGGCACTGACCGTGCTGAGCAGCTGTATCGGAGGCAAGCCAGACTGGGTGGAATGTACCAACTGGTACATGCGTAAGCCAGAAGGAGTGAGAGTTGGTCAGGCTTTGCCGCAGCATCAGCTAGCAGATGCTGGCACAGAGGGAAAACTTTGTTGAGCTAAAGTGCAATACCACCTGGACAGTGCGAGATCCAGGAGTGGGAGTGGGCCCAGTAGGGAAACAGTGGTTACTTCCCTCTGGGTTGCCACTCCAACTGGTGAGCATGAGAACCAGGACTGGGACAGGCATGGCTAGAGAGATGTCTCTGCTCCCCCCCAGATACAGGAAGGAAAAAAGAGCAAATCGAAGCAATGGTCACGCCCACTTTCCTAAAGCCCTTGACCCTTCACACCTTAGCCAAATATGTAAAAAGTATCAAAAATAAAATTTATGCAATTAAAAAAACCCTCCACACAAGAATTCCAAGTATCCTGAGTGAATAGCTACATCAATGTTAGAACAAAACAGCTCTGTACAATTGAAGATGCTAGAAAAACAGGTTAGTTAAGGTTGTCTTCTAATGGAAAAGGAAACCAAAAGTTGAAAGTACCCTACAGAAATACCATAAATGGAAAGGAAGAGAACAAATAAAAACTCAAGTAAACTTACAAGGAACTGGGGCGTGGCAAAATGTCATCACTTAAAGGATTTGAATGTAAACAGGCTGAAGTTTCCTGTAAAACAAAAGCAGTTTGCCGACTCCTGAACAACAAAATCCAATAATGTGCTGCCTGCAGGAGTCATGCAAACCCAAAACATTATCGAGAGAGGCGCAGGGTAAGAGGATATTCCTACATGAACAGAAGAAAAGCTGGGATCACTCTTTTGGGAGCAGACCAAGTAGATGTCATAGCAAAAGGCAGTACAATCAATAAATAGGGTTATTACATAATGATCAGATGTATATCAAATTATGAGACTCAAAATTTAAAAAAAAAAACACTGAATGTTCATGTTACAAAAACCATTGCAACAATGTCCATAAAAGATAATGGCCAAAAGGCAAGGGGGAAAAAAAAGATAAATGTTCTTTTCATAGGAATCTTCAACATTCCACTTCTGGAAAAAATAGGCAAAAAAGAAAAATTGGAAAATACTATGTGATTGATAGTTTATTCAATAAGTAATTGTACATGACTTCTAGAAGACAATTCCATAAACGATGGAGTTTAACAGAGAAAGAATAAACATGAAACAAGTTAATATAATCTTTTCAAGTGCACACATATCACACCATTCGCAAACAAGCGTATTAAAAAAAACTGTGATCCTACGCTAGACAATAAAGATTCATCCTTTCCTTAGTTCTGTGGAATTTTACAGTGTTTATTCACCAACTTAGATTGTTTGGATTCACAGAAAAAGCAAAAGCACCATCTACCAAATGGTCAAAACACATGGCAATAAAATCTTAAAAAATAAAAACAAGCAGTAAATCACACCGGTTTGTTTTGAAACGTTTAACCTCTGCCTTTGATAGCACTTGGATTATAAGAAATCCAGTGGGCATCTGTTGTTTTGCTCCAGTCCCCATCTCACCCTTTTCTTCAGATAACAACACCTTAGGGGATGTATGGTTGAAGAGAAATTTTTGTCCTCTGAAGATTTGCTAGAAAAAAAAAAAAGATTTGTCAACAAGAGCTCAATACAAACAAAGCCATACAAATTGATTAAGGTGGTAAAGAGGGGGAAAAAAAATCACAGCCATGTGATAATCTAACAGCTCAAACTTATCTGGAAACTTCAAGAAGGGGACTCCAAAAACTCTGTTCCGAACTGGAATTTGTGCTTGCTTCGGCAGCACATATACTAAAATTGAAACGATCCAGAGAAGATTAACATGGCCCTTGTGCAAGGATGATACACAAATTCGTGAAGCATTCCATATAAAAAAAAATAAGAAGTGGAATTTAAAATATAAGTTTGTTTGAGTGCAAAAACAAATATTGCAAAGCACGCACAAGTTTTGAAAATCCATTCCCATATGCTTCCTTGTTTACAGGGGGGCAGAGGCCAGGGACTATCAGGGGAGCCGTAATGATGTTTGGGACAGCTCGGGGGACTTGGAGACTATATAACAGCCTGAGACCTAGTTTGTTTGGCTTGCAGAGTAGACAATGGATTGTAAATGATGGTCTATGAGATCAAAATAGAGAACAATGGTGGTGACAAAAATTCTTTCCAGGTGTGTTGACAGACTTAAGCTGCTCTTCCTGTGACAATGGAAACTCCAAGAAGGGACCAGAGGTCACTGTTTTCTTCCTTGGTTGTTCAGCCTTCAGGCAGACAAGGAGACGCTCAGAAGAAAGACATCTGTTGCAGGGTTCTTATAATTTAAAACCATCCGCATTCCAGGGTGCCGGATTTTGAAGACAGTCTCTGCACTCCTACAGGAACTTCCCCTCCCCTCCTCAACCCTGTGCGGCTGTGATAAGGAGCCGACCAGCTGGCCAGACCAGCTCGTGTTCCTAAAGACAGTTAACTCTTCCTGGAATGGGGTTGGGAGAGAGTGATGTGGAACCCTGGGGATCAGAGGGTCTGTAACGTTGCCAAGATTCTGAAAGTTAAGGAGGACAGAATGTTAGACACTGGCGGCCATTTCAACTCTCCTGGGAAGAGGCTGCTGAGCTTGAAGCCCACAGGAAAAAAAGAACTAAGATATGGAGGCAGAAAGGCCAGAGTTGTTTTTTTTTTTTAAATAATAGATACATTTTATTTCTGAAATTTACATAGTTGAGAGGGATGCATGCCTATGTGGACCACTGATGAGGGGGGAAGGTCGAGGCATGGGGGAAAGTGGGTGAGACAACTTGCCTCCAATCTCTTTTTTCCCTCTGATATCTGGGGAAAGTGGGGGAGAAGGGGTGAGGGCTGCTCCCAGCAGCCCAACTGCATCAGTACCCCAGAATGGGGAAGGCCACCCAATGTCATCTGAGGGTCCCCGATGTGAAGACCCTCAGATGGTTTTGATCGTTCTGAGATGCTGTTGATTTCATTGCTCCGAGGATGAGGAAATCTGTTTGCTGACATAGTCCACCTTAGAATCTCAATTTGCCCAGATCCTTGTCCGGGAGAAATGTCCAATTTGTTCTGCCCTCCGTGGTACTAGATGCCCTCTGCAGGCCTCAGTGAACTGGTTGTCATGTCCCCCATGAGCTATCTAGGCATGCCCTCCACTGCACAGGCCTCAGCAGCTGTGTGGAGACACAGTTCTGACACGTGTACTCCACAGTCAGACCGCAGATTCCGTGATTTTCCCTGGGGTTGCAGTTCTGAGTCCAGTGATCCAGTTGGGAAGAATCCCCAAAGAAACTTCACCAGAGGTAAACACAACCTGACTCCTGTGTGTGCCAGCCAGTACAGGGTCCAGCTTAGTCCATCGCCTACATCAGCCTACACACACTGGTGGTTGCAATCACCTAGTCAGTTCTGTCCCCAGCCCTATCTCACACGCAAACCAATGGATGCTGCAACACAACCTAATCCTGCCTACCACACACTCTGCCCTCGTACACCAACAGGAACTGCAGCCCAGTTGGAGCGACCCTCTAAAACCCTCAGTAGGCCCACCCCCAATCCTGGTTCCTGTGCATGTTAGTATGTGCAGCAGATGGTCCAGCGTGTGCCACATCCCATTCAGCTCTCATACACATTGCATGGATACTGGAGCCTAGCTCAACCCAATCAACCCCACTATCCAGCCTACACTCATACTAGCAAGTGCCACTGCCTTTCCAGCCAGGCTCGCCCCCAGCTCCGGTTCTCATGCTCACCAGTGGGAGTCACAGCCCATCAGAGATGCCCACAGACTCCCTACTGGGCCCACTCCCAGCCCTTGATCTTGCACATACCATTTAATTCTACAATCTAAAAATCAGATTTTTAATGGCGTGTCTAGGCGCTCTGGATCCAGTTGTTGGAGTCAAGAAATTCTACCTCCCTTTTTGCAAATGTGGTAAGAAATCCACAGAATAAAATTGACCACTTAGATCCTTTGCTTAAAAATATATATATTTATTTAAAAGGCAGTGTTAAAGAGGAGAGACAAAAGAGAGGGAGAGAGATCTTCCATCCTCTGGTTTGTTCCCCATGTGGCCCCAAGAGCCAGGGCTGGGTCAGGTCAAAGCCAGAAGCCTGGAACTCTTTCTGGGCAATCTCCCATGTCCCATCTCTCCTTCTGGGAGATCACATGGACCCTAGCACTTGGACCATCCTCTGCTGCTATCATAGGTGCACTAGCTGGCTAGAAAACAGAGCAGCCACAGCTCAAATTTGCATTCTGCTGCGGGATGCTGATGTCAGAAGTGGCAGTTTAATCTGATGCAGCAGAATTCCAGCCCCAAGAAAATACTTTTTAGACACTGAAAACACAATGCAGCATATGCAATGATTATAAATAGCAAGAACTATAAAAGTATCCAGACTCCTTAACCGAGTAATTTTATTCTGGGAAATATAGCTTAGAGAACCCTCCCAAACACCTACCCACACAAAGCAACTATATTAAACAAAAATAGTCATAGCAGGCTATTAGTAATGAACTACAAAGCCAACACAACACACCATAATACCAATGTCTCTCAAATAAGTACATCTTTTAAAAAAAAATTAAAGGGAATCCAATGTTGTAGTGGAGCAGGTGAAGTTCCAGACTGCATCCCATATCACAACCATCCATGGTCCAAGTGCTTGGATCCCTACACCAACATGGTAGACCACAACAGTGCTCCGGGCTGTGGACTTCAGTCTGGCCCAGCTCCAATATCACAGCCATTTGGTGAGTGAATCAGTGAATGGAAGATCTGTGTGTGTCCCACTCTTGTCACTCTGCCTTTCAGATATCTATATACTTAAATAAATTATAAATTAATTAAAAGAAAAGATTGTGTAGTCCATCTCTGCTTCTTTTCAACCCTTTTGTTAAGCCCTGTTGTTTCCCACGAATCTTTCCAGAAATGTCTTATGCATACAAACACACATGCACGTACTTGAAACGAAATTCCTTTTTTTGCACTGCAATGTTTTGCATTTAATAATTACCTTGGAGACTGTATTAGTCAGGACAGGCCAGAATATGCCGAGCATTCAGAATCTCAAACTCAAAGAAAAAGCATTCAGAATCTCAAACTCCAAATGGCTCAGCGTGTTAAGGCTGCTGCCTGTGATGCCTGCATCCCGCGTCAGAGTGCCACTTTGCATGCTGGTTGTCCTTCCCTCCCAGCTCGCCGCTGATGCTCTTGGAAGGCAGCAGGTGATGGCCAAGCACTCGTCCCTGCCATCCACACGGTGGGGCGGGTCCCAGGTGGAACTCCAGGCTCCCAGCTTTGGCCTGGCTCAGCCCTGGCAATTGCAGCTGTTTCAGGAGTGAGCCAGGGGAAGGAAGATCTCTGGCTGCCTTTGTCACTTTATCTTTCAAATAAATCAATTTTTCAAAAGAAAAAAATTGCAAATGTTGATCTCTCACTCGTGGTGTATGTCCAATGGCGGACGGATGGGCGGCATCTATATTCAACAGAGTCCTTCAGAAAGCCTATGCCATCTTAAGACACATCCCCGCACTCGCTGATTTGGGAAAACAGAATGTCACACGTCAGCACGTGAGGTGTTCACCTAGAAAAGGATCCGTGTACTTTTCTCTGCTCAGATATCACTGGCTGCAAGTGTGTGGCCACACCTGTCTTCAAAGGGTGGCGGCAAGTGCAGCCCCACTTTCAGCAGGGAGGGGGAAGTAAGGAAGAACATTCGAGAAAAGCTTCAACGAAGATCACTACTAAAATTTTTCCACATCACTGTCCTTAGAGCTCCCACAGTACACACACGCGTGCTGTAACTAACCAAGCCCTGTCATTCAAACAGTACAAGCAGTACTTCCACAAACATTCTTCCACAGCTATGTTCACCCATTTTCTTGAATGAAAAAAAAAAGTCACCAAATTTTTTGAAATCGATTTTTGGGGGTCAAAGAGGTGGTGTCTTTTAAAATTTTGAATTATTTTGTTTATTTGAAAGGCGGGGACAGAGAGACACCCACTGATTCACTCCCCAAAATGTACACAGAGCCAACCCAGGAGCTCAGGATTCAGGCTGGGTCTCTCCTGTGGGTGGGTGGGCAGGGACCCGGGTGCTTCAGCCACCCACCACCTGTATCTCCCAGAGCACACATGAATCAGCAGGGTGCTTTTCAAAAGTTCTGTTAAATATTGCTGAATTGCTACATATCGGCAAACTACCTCTTGAAGGAGTTGCAACTTTGCATGCACACCAAAAACTGCTTCTCCCTATCATGTGATTTTTTGCCCATTAGCTGCATTAAAACGTTTTTCACTTATAGGTCTTTAAGTACGAATTATATTTAGTATCTTACCAGATTTTAGAAACCATTCATATTCCTTTTTCTTTTTTTTTTTTTAAAAATGCATTTGTTTCTATTTTATTTATTTATTTTATTATTTTTATTTTAGATGATGCTTACATTGGTTGACCAGGGTGGAAAGGACTGAGGGTCAGGGAAAAGTAGGTGTGGTCATTGTTTCCAAGCTTTCCATTTCTGTTTCCTGTGTCTGGGGGGAAGAGGGAGACAAGGAGGAGAAGCCATACCCAGCCTACCAACCACCCTAGCACCCAGGGATGGGAAAATGCCAACCAATATCGACCCATGGTGCTGATGGGCATATGCTCCGAGAGCTCTGCCCAGGTGGTTTCAATAGTTTGGAAATGTTGATCTCGCTGATCCAATGATGAGGGAACATGTTCAACGTCCATTGGCTGACATAGTCCACCCTAGAGTCTCCATTCACCCAGATATTTGCTGTCATCGTTAGGCTGGGGTAGTCGTCCAATCTTCTGTTCTCCTTCCTCTGCTATAGTAACAGATGTCTTCTGCAGGCCCCAG